TTTCTAATATATAACCGAGGCAATATAAAATATAACACTATATATAAACAATCATACTTTGTGAGGTTTGCAAGGAAGATTCCACCACTTTTCTCCTTTTCCATCAATAACTCCACCACCTTGTAGAGACATGCCATTTACCCTATAAAACACCAGCCATTGTCTCATGCTATTACCTTTCCGCCACGAACTTGGTCCATCTGGTGCCGTAATTGTCCCTTCAATCTTCACAAACACGATCCAAAAAAAAAAAACATTATTAATTAACTCAAAAACCCATCATGCATCAACAATCAAGGCATGGAAATTTTCACATGATTACCTGAAACACAACCCTATTCCCACAACTTCCAGTGAAAATGGTAGATTGTATCAAGAAAGTATAATGCTTTGGAACAAGAAGGATCGTGGGTTCGTCGTTTTGACAAGCTGAATCCCACGCCATTTTGAAAGCTTGTGTGTCATCCGTCACCCCATCACCTACGGACCCGAACGACCTCACATCAAGAACATGTAAATACTGATTCTTGGGGATCATTGCTGGTTCCGGAGAAGGAGATGGTGATGGGGAAATGTGATCGAGTGATCGGGAGTTAACAGAACTAAAATGGACGTAAAGGGGGAAGAAAAAGAGGAGAAAAGTGCAGAAAGATAGTCCCATGGATAGTGAGTTATAACTAGAAGAAGAAGTTGGTTTATGGTTATATAGGACAAAAAAAGTGAATGTTGACAAAAGGAATCCAACTTCTATAGCACTCTATGAAATCATGTGTTCAAAGAATCAGACCTGATCTTTGGGTGGAAAGTTGTAGGGTTTCGTAGGGTTTATGACAAATGAGGGAAGCCGAAAGAAGGTGTTGCTTGATGGGTAAGACTTTTGGTGGTGTGAGTGACCACAATCGGCACTAGGTTACTTATAGCAGCACCAAGAAGCAAGTTGTATAATCAGTTGAACAAGGGATACACAGGAAGTAGAGGCTTCTTCTCTTTATTTATATTTATATATTTATATATGTGGAGTAGCTTTAAGTGGAAGTGTGGCTTAAAGTTATAAAAAATTTCAACCTTAGCGGCTTAACCGACCATCCATCTCTTAATATTTTGTGCATATAACTCAGGGTTTAATGCATGTTTTTTTATTAATTTATGCTAATAAAATAGACTTGAATTTATACAAAATTTTATTTTATATTTTTATATCAAATATGCATGGATAAATTTGTGAAATTTTGGTAACCACTTAATTAAAGAGTTAAATGTGGTTAAATAATTTGTATGAAAATTTATATCATAAAACATGGTTGAATAAATATGTATTCAACCTTATAGCTAGCAAACGAGGTTTGATTCTAATAGCACAACTTTTAGTCTAGATGTGATATCGATCAAATCATAAAAAAAGGATTTCTCATACCGTGAGTCCGTGATACAAGAAAAAAGGACCAACAGTTGGGTCAAATTTCCACTATTATCTGCCGGGGTTCAAAATTACAGAGTTTTACTAATGCAAATATCACAAAATTGGAGAATTTCCAAATGCTGTTTTAGGTATAATATTAAACTGTGGTCGAAACTACACAACTTGCAGTGTGCTAAATATGAGAGTATAAGGCCTACTGCCATATTGAAATACAGGGTAGTGCTTTTCTTTTTACAATATGTATCTCTTTGTCGTTACTAGAACGTTGCTATCATGTTTTTATCTTCAATAACGGTTTATTAAGTATATACACTAACTGAGTTAAAAAAAAATGTAAGACATGACCAATAAAAATGAAATTTTCAATTCATGTTTTTTCAAGTGGGGGGTTTTAAATACTTAAAACCCACCAAAAACCCCACAAGAAGTATGTAATTTGTGGTTTGGACGGTGCAATGTGCATATAAGGGTTCAGGAACAAGAAAAGAAAAGAGGGTGTTGAGTGGAATGTAGATGTCAGATGCACAAGAACGGGAAATGTGAATATATATATTATATCGAGATATATAGCTATATAGATATATATATCTATATATATATATATATATATTATATATATATATATATATATTAATAAGATTATTTTTTCAACCATTATATCAAAGCTTATTTTATATATTGAAAAAAATAAATAAAAATATCTAAATTCATCATTTTTCAAAGTTTTTTTTAACTTTTATCGAAAAAAATAACTAAAAATATATAAATTTAACATATTTCAACCTCTACCCATATTTATATTGAGTTTTAATTTTTTTTTGTGCATTTAACGTAAAATGTGCACCATATGCACCTAAGTAGTAAAACGTTTGTTTTGAATTAATTTTTTTTCAAAAAAATCACTTTCTATAAAAGTGTTTTAACTTATTAAGATGTTTTTTTATCTGTACATTAATGTGTATATATACATTACAAGAAAAAAGGGCAATAGCGGCGACACACACTATTTGCGGCGACATGTAATTTGCGCGTTACATGTCGCCAGTCATAGTGTGTGTCGCTGCTAATGGCGTCATCGCTAATATTAGAAAACCACGATCCGCGTCAAAACAATGTGGTTAACCGTGTCCGTTGATCTGGACCTAATCGAACGGCTGAAAGCGATGTTCGGTCAGCGTATTGGCGGCGACGTCAATGGCGGCGACACCGTCGCCGCTAATGCTAAAAAAAGGCACTATGTTTTCCCTCGTACGGGTGTCGCTGCTAAAACCCTAATGTCGTCGCTAATGTTGAGGTCGAATGTTGTTGTGAGAGGTCGAAGGTTGTCTATGTCATTCTGAGTATCAAATGTTTGTTTGTTAGTTTATTATAAGGGCATTTTGTATCATAGCTTAAGTGTCTTAGTCCCTTATATTTTTTTGTACGCTTTCCTTATCCCTATATATATGGGATGAATACTATAGTTAGAGGGTAGCTTTGGCATTCACATTGTATTCTCTGAGTTTTCTCTGTATTCGTTGAAAGCGTAATCTGTCACAACTAGCATTTTGGCTTGGAAATTCCGCCCTCATGTAAGCAATAACTATTGTGAGACTTGTGCTAACACATTAAAAGTGTACTTTATGGTTCCTAATGGACGATGGAAAGATAGAGTGCAAATCTCTCCATGTAACTCAAGTCTCTCCCAAATCTCCAAGTATGTGAAATCTCTCCCAAATCTCTCCAAGTATGTGAAATCTCTCCCAATTCTCTCCAAGTATATGAAATCTCTCCCAATTCTCTCCAAGTATGTGAAATCTCTCCCAAATCTCTCCAAGTATGTGAAATCTCTTCCAAATCTCTCCAAGTATGTGAAATCTCTCCCAAACCTCTCCAAGTATGTGGAATCTCTCCCAAATCTCTCCCATATGTGAAATCTCTCCCAAATCTCTCCAAGTATGTGGAATTTCTCCCAAATCTCTCCCATATGTGAAAACTCTCCAAGTATGTGAAATCTCTCCCAAATCTCTCCAAGTATGTGGAATCTCTCCCAAATCTCTCTACGTCCCTTCCTCAGTCGAAAACACCCAAACCGGAGGAGAAAACCCAAAATGACCCTCTTGGTCCGGAACCCTCTTGGTCCTGAACCTCTTGGTCCGGAACCCACTTGGTCCGGAACCCTCTTGGTCCGGACTCCTCTTGGTCCGGAACCCTGTTTGTCCGGATACCTTCTAAGAAACCAAGAAGCTTCTCACTTCGGATCTTCCTTAGTCCGGACTATCCTCCTACTTCGGAACCTTCTTCTGACTCCGGAACATGTGGGGTGGTTCGAACCTCCAAGCTGAACCGGACAGCTTCGCTCCTGACCTCGGATCCGAGAAGAATGCTTCGGACCTCGCCCAGCGCCTCCGGAACTCCTTGCCTACCCACTTCGGACCCTCGCAACCCTAATCCTCCCTTCCAGAATTTGGGATATAGCTCTGGAATGCTAAGAGGAGCTTCGGAATTCATGTTGTGGCTCCAGATTTCACCCCTTCATTCCGGATTTTTGTCATTTTCAGACCTTTTCATCATTTTAAGGTATTTTGACGTCGGGAATCCCACCAAACTCGTGTTTTTCTTAACTGAGACCCCTAAAACCTCTATTTATATGCCAAATTTAATTATTTAAATCATATTACATAAAATAAGCGTTAGGATTTAGGAAGATCCTATCCTAAATCAAGATAAGGACAAGGAGGTTTGACCTTGTGATTGGATGTAATCTTCAATTTCCCCATGCAAGTTGTAGTATTCAATGCATTACCCACCAAATAACAACGCATGAACCCCATGCACCAAAGATTCTCTCCCTTTTTTCTTATACTCCTTAAGGCAACGACAGTAAAGGGGTTTAGACTTCACATTTTCTATCACTTTTCCCATTTCCCCTCAAAACTCATCTCCAAGGCAAGAACAAGGATATTGCTGAAGGAAAAGTTCTCAACTTCTTCCTGAGTAAGTTCCCCACTCATCAAAAATTTTATAATTTTCAAGATGAATCCATATTATTTTATTCATAATAATATGTGATAATCACCTTTAGGAAAACATCCCTTCCAGGGAAGTTCCTCATCTCAGCCAAAGTTTAGGCTTGAATCTCCACTCCATCACTCCAAACAACTCCACAACCAACTCCAAGTGAGCTTCATACCCCACCTTTATCAATGTTTTAATGTTTTTGGGGGAGAGTACAAGTCAAATCTTGCTTAAATACTTGAATAATTGCATGTATGCGTATGTTTGTATGTGTGTGTGAAATATTATTAAATTATTAAAGAACAGAGGATACTTTGTGTACAAAAGAGCCTCCCAACTATTGGGTGTGTCCAACTAAACCCCTTTATCTATACTTTCATGTCTAGAGATAAAAGTTATAAAAAGGGACCTTGATAAGTTAACACTATTTCTAGTAATTTTCGAAAATGGAAACTTTGTGACTATTTGCAAATTATCAGGCAGTATTTTATAAATATTCGATATAAAAGTTTGCGTCAAGAAAATATACAAATAAAGTCTTTATGACAGAAATATTTGCATGTCATAAACTGCTGTCGTAAAACCTCCAAGAACATAAGTAATGTTCTATATGTCATAAAACAGAAAATGCGTCTTAACCGGCAGTTATAAATTTATACAATTATAACTTGACACTTTTTCTCTTGACTAAAATGACTTATTTTTCAATAAACGAAAAGGAACGAACACGAGCACCCAGTTAACGAGCACAGTCAACGATATGGAACGAGAACAATATTTCTATTCAATGAGTACGAATTTCATTATTTATCTAACAAATAATGGATCTCTAACGATTGCTCAAAAGGTTGTTAATATTCTAATCAGACAAATCTCAAAAGTACCTAAATATAAAAATATTAGTGTACGTCTAAAGTCCTGTAAGGAGTTATGGCCAGAGTCTCCTGGAGGGACAGCAGAAATATGTGTATAGATCTATACGGGGTTGACACCCCGCACCTTCGCTATTCGCTACAGCTAGACAGGCCAGTCTAGGGTGACAAATGTCTTTGCCAAAACTAGGGCGCCTGAGAAACGCCAAAACAAGCACTCCGTCAGATTAGTATGGTTATAACGACTCACTAGAATATGTTATGTCATCCAGAAATTTATGTAAGGAAAAACCTCATAAATAAATTTTTGCACGTTTTGTTGACCTTCCTATACATGATAAGTGATGGTCCGCATTTGTTGCGTTGACTGTCCTTTTTCATCGCGTAGAATGTCCACAATTGCCAAGTTGATTCTTTCTCCTAACAAGTATAGAGTCATAATACTACTATTTTAGAAATTAGAAAGCGTAGGACTCTATGGAAAACGTTTGTAAACAATTTTGAAAACGATAAACTAACCCACACATATACATAGTTGGAACTAGAACTTACGAATATTTTATAGTAGAAAATATAGGATTTTCTGGGAGGAAAAAGATTTTCTACGATTTCGATAACGATAAACATAGAACACACACTCAATTTTACTCCATAGGAGGAA